GGTTTAGCTTCCTGTCGTTTTAGCTTGTTGTTCTTCCATTCATGAATGAACCTCTCTGATTCTGGGTCACACGCAGGACGCCAAGAAAGACGAGTCCGTCCGAAAGTCCTACAAGTACCTGGCCGCCCTGCACGAGGTGCGTCTTCCCCCTCAGGGTGTCATATTTGTCCTTTTGATGATTCGTCTCAGATGGTCCGTGTTTGTCCCCATGATGTTCTGCAGAACTGTAATCAGCTGATCCGAACCATCGAGGACACGGGAACGATCCTCAGAGAGATCCGAGACCTGGAGGAGCAGGTAGGACCGACGAAGACCAACACCACATTAATAATGATCCAACAAATCTACAAAATAAAGACCTTTTAATTCTCACAGTTTTTAAACATGTTCAGCTGAGGTCCATCAAAAACAAGAAAACTAATAAAATCATTTTAACTATAACAACATAAGTAAGTTCACACGGTGCTAAACACTAAACCACCGTGCTGCCCAATACTGTCCTTTATTTTGGTTTTTAAAGTTGATAAATGTTTGAGCTTCAGAAACACTAAGATTTTAAAGCAAACTAAAATTATTCTGCAGAAAAGTTAAAGTAAAATTTCAACTCTTTTCTTGGTGCATTTGTTACGTTCAGCCTGTTTTCGTGTTAATTTTTTATTTGTCGTTTTCCACAGAGTTCACGTGTTTTGATTTTTCAACCTCAAACTTTAAACGTGATTTAAATTTTACACTTTTCAAACCATTTCACTGCACATTTCTCTACGGGACACGATCGGGATCACCGTGCTGCAACTTTATTCAGTTTTAATCTGATGGTTTTGTTTTTTCCTCAATTTATTTTTTCCTTAAAATTCTGAGAAAAATAAATTCAGGGACGTTGCGCAGCGTCCTAATCCTGCGCTTTACTTCTTGGTGCTGCTGAATGTTCTAAATGAGCGAGTGAACAAACAAATGAATAAATAAGTGAACAAATGATAAATAATTGAATAAGTGAATAAACAAAGTAAAGAAAGACGTGAATAAATAGTAATTAATTATTACTTGAGAACTGTCCAGGTTCGGGACGTTAAACATGTTTTTGTTTGTTTCCTCAGATCGAGACAGAAAACGGGAACAAAACCGTGTCGAACCTGGAGAGGATCCTGGACGACTACCGGGCGATCCGACAGGAGAACTCTGCTCTCGCTGCTAAAGTCCGAGAAGGCTGACGGGTTCTGGTTCTGGTTCTGTGAAACCAAACCCCGCAGACGTTGATGAACGTGAGCGATGTGGATCCTGTGGCTCGTTCTGCCGTCTCAAGGATTCGGTTCTGATGCGAAACTGGACTCGGGGTCCCGTCAGGAAACGTTTCCAGAACAAATCTCTGACTTCAAATCCTTTAATGACAAATTGTTTCCTTTTCAGAGTTTTTCTGTTTTGTTGACCTTTGAACTGAAACTGTTCTGAATGTAGAGGAATGGAAGCCGACCCGGCAGCACAGAACCGCTGTGCACCGGTAGCGCTTTAAATAAAGACGCCTTACAGACGGGACGTGGTCCTGAAGCGCTGCGTGGGCTTGGTGTGGTAGTCTCTGAGAGTCCTTCACAGAGCAGGCCTGGAGCTGAGCACAGACTGCACTTTAATAAACGCTGGGCAGCGAGAGGAGCTCCTCCTTCAGATAATTCAACTGAATATTTTTACACAGCACAACGTGACGTCTGACACCGGAGAAACTCCACCAACATCCAAACTCACCGACAGAACCGTCTCTTTAAAACTTCGAGGGTCGTTTCCATTTATCTCTTAACATAAAACACCAGAAACAAAAAAAGACGCCACGAAACCGTCAGAACCTTCTGCAGATCCGTTTATTAAAATCATTTTGTGGACGTCGGTATTTTACAGCCTCACTATCAGCGCACGTTTGTTCAGCACACGTACGGACTTTTCCCACGGGCTCCACTCGACGTGGCCTCAGTGCCACTGGGTCGGTGACACCACCCGCCCGCGACTCGGTTCCTGGGACCGACTTGGCCGAGGTTCCAAGCAGCCGAGTCAAAGGGCGACGTCTAACACGAGCGCACCTTCACAAGAATCGAACCCAACGCTTTTGAAACCTCTCACCGGCACATTGGACATCTTTTACTTTTCAAATGTTGTCCTTTAACCTTTTGGGTCACTGGTGCCGGTGTCCAGCAGTCACTGTGAGGCGGGGACACCTGGACAGGCCTCCAGTCCGTCACGGGGACACCTGGACAGGCCTCCAGTCCGTCACGGGGACACCTGGACATGTCTCCAGTCCGTCACAGGGACACCTGGACAGTTCTACCAACAGCACTTCCTGTTTAAAAACGCTGTGTATCAAAATGTCGGCCCACTGATCAACACTGAGGTTGGCAGAGACAGAGTTCAGACAAAGACCCAATGGTCCAGATTTACGGGCGCGGCGACCCGTCCACTGCAGGAACGTGACAGACGGTGCGTTGTGACTTCATTTCATGTATTTGTTCGTTGCTGTGATGTTTGTCGTGGACAGAAGCTTCAGGCGGCCACGTCTTAACAATCCTGTCCACACTGAGACGACCTTCAAGTTGAATCTAAAGCCACTGAGCCCGTGTAGCCCCGAGTCGTAATGAGACTGGGCTGTGGAAAGAACTAAAAATGTTCTTCAAAGTAGGTTTAACGTTCACAAATGACGCTGCATTTCACATCCATGTGTTTTTTAATGCAGTTGATTTAGAAAACATTAATGAAAACACTTCAAAATGTGTCAGCTGTTACGCTAAATATTTTAAGTGTTTTGTACCGTTTTTTTACAAGCTCTGCGTAAAAAATGTTTGTCCCCGCCCCTGCTCACCTGAAACAGCGGGAATCGCCACGGCAACCAGTGATTCGGCTGATCCTGTTCTACCTATCGTTCCGTCATGGTAGCTGCCATGAATCTTGAAGGATTTGAGAACTTTGTTCTGATCAGAACTTTAGAACTGAATATGTCCCAAACAAACAGGAAGAGGGTTTAACTTGGTGTCAAAATAAAGCTAGTAGACATTCTTCAAAATAAGAGTCTGGTTCGGTCATAATTCCAAAATAATATCGAGGGTGCACTGACTGAAATTTTCTGGCTGATCACCGATTTCCAAAAAGTCTGACCTGATTCGATACGACAGTTTTCTAAGCGACGGTGTCAGGTGATGATGTCACAGCGCACCTGCAGTTCTCCATCTCATTTTATTGAAAAACATACTTTGAACAAACGATACAAACTTGTTTTAACTGGCCGTGAGGTAGTGCTCTGAAATATAAATGAAGTTTAAAAACTAAAACAATCTTCTCGTGTATCGGCCGATCACCAACTTTAAGGAAATCGGGGCGGATGGATCGGTGCACCTGTACCGGTTGAGCTTTAGGAAAGAGCTGTTGGAGTTCTGGGCAGCAGATGGAAGTTTAATTCAAGGTCAAACGGCTAAAAGACAAGTGCAAGTTTTAGCTCAACAATCGACGGACGATTTAAAATGTTGAAATCAGGCCATAAACACAAAGGTTGTAATATATTTTTATTAAACACGTGCAGTTCACGGTAACTTTACGTACAAATTACACCAAATTAACACGTTCACAGTTGCATGAACACATTTAGGCTCTAGAAACTTTCTTTGGTTTTCTGCGCTTCAGAATCTCGGCGTCAAACCCTTCGAGAACGGTTTCACGCTTCAACTCTGCCGCTCCGCTGTAGAAGAAATATACTCACATTAAAGCGTCGGACACGGTCGCGTTCCGTTTGAAGCGTTTTTGTAACCGAACTAATTTTCTTCCAAAGACCTTTGGTTTTCAGAGAAGCAGATTTTTTATCCCACATTATCATCCCGTGGTTCAGACTCCTACAGGGTCGATGCGTTCCTCGGCTCTTGGTGGAGAACGGAAGAACGCCGTCTGCCGTGGATCCTGGTGGTGAACTGAAACCTGATTGGGTGGCGGGACAAAAGAGGACGCCTTGTCTCAAAAGGAGAAACGGATTGTCCTTAAAATTAACCGGAACAGTCCCACCAGCCCGAGCCTTCCAGCAGCAGATGGAAACGAGCGTCCCGGTCGGAGCACCGGGACGCTGGAGGAGCGGGGGTCGCCGCAGGGAGCTGCAGATGTTTCAGGGGTGGGAAAGTTGGTCATTAATGGCCGCCGAGGCTTCGCTTCTCTCCACTCGTCCAGTCGATGCCGATGAAGGTCAGGCTCATGATCATGAAGATGAAGCCCAAAGCGGAGAAACAGGCAGCCTGCAAACACACAGATGTTCCTGACCGAGTTCTGGGGTTTCAAACCTTCACCTCGAGATACGGACCTGGATCTTTGGTCTGGAGCTCATGGGTTCCTGGTTTTTGGGAACAATTCGGATGTAGAAGAGCCCAGGGAGGATGAAGATCAGGGTAGGAGCGGTGGTTGCTCCTGGACAACGAGAAGAAACGACAATTCAGTTTCTGGGCCAACGAATTCTCAGAGACCAAAACTAAAACTGATTGTACCGTCCAAGAACTGATCCGGTCCCAGAATCTCCACGCATCCATCTGTTCGTCCATCCATCCATCAATTCATCAACAAGCCATCCATTCATCTATCAATTCATCATCTATCCATCATTCATCATCCATCACCATCCATCCATCATCTATCCATCCATCCATCAATTCATCAACAACCCACCCATCAACCATCCATTCATCATCCAACCATCCATCCATCCATCCATCAATTCATCAACAATCCATCCATTCATCATCCATCACCCATCATCCATCCATCCATCATCCATCCACCCATGGTTTAGGAGTGAAGCCCAGACCTCTCTCCCCAGTGACACCCTTCAGCTCCTTCTGAAGGATCTCAAGGTGTTCCCAGTTATCCAAAGAGAAATAATTCCAGCAGTGAGTTCTTTGTCTGCCACGTGGTCTCATCTGAAACTGACGGTGTCAAAGTTCATCGTGTAAAGTTCTGTAAACCCTTTGGTCCTGGTGCCGCTCAGACCAGACGTTAAGTCATCAGTCCAGTTAGAATTCAACTTTTTCCTTCAAAATAAAAGTGTTCAACGAGCTACAGGTAAAAAATGAATCATTTAGAAGTTAAACAACGCTTCAAGTCGACAAATCCTTTGTTTTACATGAACGGCTTCAAGAAACAAGTGCACGAATAAAACCTAACCCTCTTCTAAGACTCTGACCAGACACTGGAGCACCCTGAGCCAGAACCAGTCTCTAGTTTTGTTTCTTCCTCTTGTCTAATAAACAGTTGTACTCGTGTTTAATGATGCACCTGTAATTCCAAAAATGTCTCGAATGTTGGGAACGAAGATGACCAGCAGGTTGACGGCGAACAGCAGACACACGGCGATGGCGACGTGGCGTGCCCAGTGGAAGGACTTTCCTGGAAACAGCAGCTGCATGAGGGCTCGGCGAATCTGTCGGGAAGACGGACGTCCTGTTTTAACAGAACTTCAGATGTTCTGGTGTAAGAAACGTCGTGCTCTTACAGGAAACAGGACCACGGGCACGGTCAGGGTGACGGCCACCAGGACGGCCAGCCGCACACACAGGATCAGCGTGTCCAGGGGATCCACCTTGCTGTAGGTGTGCAGGAGCTCGGCCTCGGTGTTTCCTGTGCCAAAACACAAAGTCTGCGTCATTTCATGGGACGTTGCATCATCTAGCAGTTGAAGTCCGAGAACAACTGTGCTTTCAGAGAGTTGACCCCAAACAAGTCCTGACCGTCAGCCCGACCTTCACACGGAGGCTGTGCTCACATTTCTCACTAAACTTGGTCAAACGTGAGTTCAAACTGGACTTCTTCTTTATTGTCTAAAGACCGGAGCGTGTGGAGTCCCAAGCTGTAAACTGAGTTTACACGTTAAAAGTCTCCAAACAGCGGAGACTGGAAGAATAAACGGATGAACTCCTATTCCTGTTTCTAACGTTTTCTCATCAGCTTCGTTGAAGCGTGCGCACGAGCTCTGAGGGACGATGCGCTTCAAACTCATGCACATCATTTGGGTTTAAACAACAGAACTTCTTCTACACCGAGCTCCTCCTGGGTAAGAGCTGACGTGGCAGGGTGAGTAAAATATCTTCTGGACAGACTTGGCTGAAAGTAAACTGAGCGTTCTCCAGTGACGGACGTTCAGAGTCAACCCAGTTCAAGATGGCCGCCACAGGTATTTAACCTGGGCAAACACAAAAATGCCTTTATGGCCATATTACTAATGTTCAGCTCAACAGTGGTGTGGTAGTAGCTGAGCGTCATCCCCACACACGCCGTGAGCGCAGTCAGCTCCATGGCGGCGGGCGACAGGCATTCCCTTCAACACCTTTGAGTAGTTTTAAGGTTGGTAACACATTACAATAACGTACACTAAATTTGATTAACTGCTAGGGAACGAATCAGGAGTTAATGGGTAGTTAACCAGTTCCTACTGGGGAACACAGCCAAGTCTTATTAGGGAACTACTGGTTAGTTATCTTGTAAATGAATAGGAACTAATCAAGAACTACTGGTTAGTTACCAAGGAAACTAAAGAGGAACAAGTCAGGAGCTAATGAGAAATAAAATCAGTAATCACTAGGAAACAGGTGTTTTGGCCATTACAAGCTGTGACCTCACTGGTGCAGGGTTTGTTCAGAACTCGTATGGAGGATTTCTCCTCCGTTTCTGAGGTAACAAAACTCCAGTCCCCTAATAAGGCTTGGCTGTGTGTTCCCCAGTAAGTACTGGTT